CACACAGACAGCCTGTTCCCAATATGCGTTTTTGCAATTTACATATATGCAAAAACGCATAAAAAATCTGCGGGGAACAGCGCAAAAAACTAATCTTCGCACCGGTAGTCGGTGCCGCTGGCCAATTACAAACTGTTACTAAAAGTTGGCTTGCCCGACTACGGTTGATGCGCGAATTGCGAAAGCCCTATTGGTGATGGGGAACGCTATCCCCGAGCATTGGATAGCGTGGATTTGAGGGATGGTGGGCGTGAATCGGGTAGTGTGTTGCGGGCTTCAACTACGAGGTGTGGAGGCAAGGAAAGAGCCGGGGTAGATGATTAGTAAGATTTAGCTGCGCAATATGAACTCTTCTGCGGCTTTAGTGTCCCACCAAGCTCTGAACAGATTTAGGGAATTGTAGATGGGAGGAAGGGGCACTGTGGTGTGGGTTCCAGATTCTGAGACCCAGAGCGGAAAGGGCGTAGAAGAAGCAACTGCAAAACATAGCTCAGTCGCGCAATATGCACTCGTTTATGGATTTGGTGGCTGCTTGACGTAAATTTAGGAGATGATGAGTGGGAAAGAGGGGAGGTATGGTTTTGGACTGAGAGCCTTGGGATAGAAAAGGGACTGATCATATAGCAGATTGGAGAGTGCAGTTCTGGGGACTGGCGAGAACTCAGTGTTCCTTTGGAGGCACAAATTGAAGGTTGCGTAGAAAAAGGAGACAAGGATCCAGGTCAGGAGCCCATAGGCAGGAACTGCAGATAACAGTAAAGAGAAAGAAGCATTTTGGCACTATAAAGAGAAGTAAATTAAAAAAAATCTATCCTAAAGCAAAAAAAGCAAAAGCAAAAAAAAATTTGAGCTTATATTAATGGAAACTGTCCCAGAAACCTACCGTTAATAGGGGGCTTTTCCTATTTATGATGCTCACACTTAGCTGAAGCTGAATACCAACAAGTTCGATTGAATTTATGCAAAAAAATTTCACGCAACAATTGCGCTGCATTGCATTCAGCACTAAGAAAGAGTGATGATTTTTAACCGATAAGCTTGTTCTTGTCAGCCCTTATTCAGCACCGAATTTTTTGCTCAGCATAATAAATCCGCAAGGAAATTCGAACCAACAATCAATTAATCGGCGAAAACACAATGATGTTGCTGGCAACAAAGCCAGATTGAAAAGACCGCAGCATGACCAATGGTCTTACAATACCAAAAGAATTATTAATAAATAGCAACGCGCACCAGACTAGCCGGTGCGATCATGCGTTTTGTGC